TTGACCACTAACATGAGGTCCGAGAATTAGCATGGAGGTGTTTCTGTCCCCTCCCTAAGTGGGGGGGGGGGGCCATAGCAATCATGCCTCTTCACCTTGAAAAGGCCAACCTTAGTTCCCAGTGTCAAGGAGGAGAGTCAGCTCAGTCAGACCCTTGACTGTGCTCTTCAGGATGGAGGTGGTGGTTGGCTCTGCGTAGATGGATGAGTGAGGACTGGCTCAGGTAGAGATTTGCCTTGGCCCCGGATTTCTGCCATCGGTGGGAATCTCAGAGATCATTGTGATAAAGGCTGTCTCTCATATTCAAGTAGCACCTGAGCCCTTGAAAGGGTGAATGGCTTGGATGCTGGAATCTGGGCTTCCTGCTCCCCTTTCCAATGCTCTTTTCGCAGCACCTGGCAACCTGACAAATCTGGAATTTTCTCCTCAATTTGATGTCCCCAGTAAGTTTATTTTCCCAAAACTTGCTCCATGAAACAATAGTCCTCCAAATTAGAGTGTAACTAGCAGGTTTAGAGGTCATATAAGTTTAAGAAACAAGGCCCCATGTGCTCCCCCAGAGAGTTACAAGGCTTTCGCTCCAAAGCTTAGAAAGTACTGCAGAACCTGTTTAACTTCGTTCAATACAAGCTACTCATGACTTTTTAAGCACGGATTCCTATTTTCACAGCAACTTCTCATCCCCACAGAACAAGTGATCCTCCAGACTCCTGTCAGAAATAATGAATGATTTTTTTTTTAAGTCAGTCAAGAAGGCTTTGTTAGTTCTGAGAGACAGCAAAATAACTCAAACACAAGGATCACCTGCCCAATCGGACGCTCTTTTCCCATCGATCCAAAGTAGGTATTAATATTTACTATTTGTGGGGAGGCACGAAGGAGCTTATGGTAGAGACAGGCGGGGCTCGATCCAGGCTACCCGGGTCCGGCGAGGCTCCTCTGAGGCGGTGGGAAGTGCTAGTGGCACAACCGTCCCTATCTTATCGCTAATGCAGAACAGCACCGTCTACTTATTCTGCTCCAGAACTTCGGTCAGCAACAGTCATTTACTATTAGTAACACATTTTGAGCCCCTCACTTGAAAGCCCTTGCACCCTGGAGGTGCCGTTATTGTTGGGCCAGAGGATGGGAACAGGGACAGACGCCCTCCAGCAGGGGTACGCCCATCTACTAAATCCTCTGTGGCAGGGGTGGGGCTGGGCTCAACAATGCTGTAGAAGCAGTTCCAGGTCTAAGAGCTAAAACTACGACAGGGAAGGCTCCCGGATCTGGTGTGAAGAGCAAGCAAAGTGCTGACAGGTGACTCAAGGTCACCCCTGAGGGAAAAATCTTCAGCTAAGGTTTATCTTTACCTACATTCATTTGTCTTATATTGAACACGAAATTCCATTTTTAACCTAAACAGAGCAAAATCTGCCCTTGAAGGTAAACGATTGAATTCATCAAGTAGAAGTTTTTAATGGAGTCAGTGCACTGAGGTTGAAAAGGAGGGGCTCTTGAGTCCGAGAGTGGGAGGGGGTTTAATCCTCACAACAGTTTACCAGCCACACTTGCTCAACAAGTTTCTTCATGTCTTGGAAACCTCAATTCCTTTCACGTCAAGCCGGTCCTCAGGACTGCTGTGGAAGCTGAATTATAATATAGGTCATGCTTAGCCCAGTACCCAGCTCATGAATGGCAGGGGGTCAATACAAGTAATAATTGAAAAAATAAGCATTGATAATAATTATTCAATAATAATACTGCTGGTAATAATATACCAGCTTTATTTTAGATTATCACATACTACTATTGGCATACTACTATAAGGCATGTCACTACTATTGTAATCACCATAATAATTATAATAATAGTAATACTATCACGAATAAAAGATAGTGAGGAGCAGGACAACCACTGTGGAAAACTGGCTGAATATTTGCACATGGCTCAGGAATCCTGTTTCCCAAATATGTGTATATATAAATATATATGTTATATTTTTATGGGCCCATCTTATATATGGTCACGGCAAAGCAGCTCTGCCTTGAGCGCTGCAGCCCTGGACACCGATGTCGCCAGGCCCTCTGGTGCCGGGGCCCGCTACGCACCCACGTAATCTGGCCCTCATGCTTGTTCCTTCTGGTTCCGTCCACTCTGAGCCTCGTGTGTATGCAGCACCTCATTCTTCTTCTGTAAACAATGAGCTTGTGCTTCTCCCTTGTGGGATCCCTGCCCTCTCTCTGTCTTTCCCCGTCTGGACTAAGGCTCCAGGCCTTTCTGAAATCCCCCTTCTTTCTACAGCTTTCTAGGCCCAGCCACCTCCGCAGAGAGACACGAGCCTGCCGATGACTGCCAGTTAGCCCCTGCGGCACCACAGGGCAAGGGAAGGTGAGGGGGGCTGCCCCACCATTTACCCACCCTGCTCTTCCGCTACTCCTGCCAACACCCAACTTGTGGGGCAAGGGGAGAAAGGAGAGGGGAGGAGAGAGAGAGAAGGAGGGAAGGACCTGGCCTCACTGCTGCAGTCGGAATCTAGTTCAAGAAGTGCCAAGTGCCACCTCTTTCTCACAGGATGCTCTCGTGGGTTCTTCGGAGACCGCACACCCTCTCTGGGCAGATCTTTTGAGCAGAGTCTCAAAACACTCAAGCCTGGCTCCCTGCACATCTCACTATAGTTGACACCAGGCACCCTCCCCGCAATGTCCTCTGCAGCACCTTCTCCCTGCTCTGCCTTAGGGACCCCCTCCAGCCAGCCTCTGTCCTTTGGATAGGGTCCCAGCTTTCCCAACCTTGGCACCGTTGGTGTTGGGTGGGCATGCTTTGCTCTGGGCCTCTTCTGGGCATGGTAGAATATTGAGAATTCTTGACCATAACATCATGGCCCCTAGGAGACAGAACTGCCCCTAGTTGAAAACCACTGGATTAAAGTATCCCAGGCAAAAGTTAATCAAAACTTCCAGTACTTTCCAAATTGCAGGAGACACTTTAAGCTCCCTGAACACTTGACTTAAAGAGGCACTAATCCATTCCCTCCTCTAAATACTCACTAAACCTTTTTTGTGATTATCCCCTACTTTCTGTTTCGTAGCCTCGAGGGGATGATGAGAAAAGAGTGGCAAAACCCAGCTTGGGTCACCCCAGCAACCCTGTACAAATTTTTTTTTCTTTTGGGGGCTTTGGGAGCATTTGTCACCTTTTGTGCTCAGCAATTACTGCAACTGGGGACACATTCTATTGGAGCACAAGTTAGGGACAGGACAAGGGCTATGTTGAATATTAGGTTCAAGGATACCATAATTGACTGAAAGCAAATAAAATGTACTTACAAATATGTTGAGCATCTACAGCTTACTTAATGAGATTTTGAGGCTAGGCCCGAACTTTTCTGCTGGAGAAAAGTTCCATGTACTCCTGCCAGCCTCTCATTTAATTGCATAGTTACACATAGCAGAAAGTGATCCCAGCACCCCCCCCCCCCCCCGCCCCGGTCCTTTCCTCCGCCCCCATGATAAAAGGGAATGGGGGAGGAAGCAAGCTTGGTGGGCGGGAAGAAAGGAAGACAAGGGAATAAGAGCAGTAATTATTCTTACTCCCTTGCATTTTCCATCAGTGCCCTCAAAAAGCACTTACATACAGGAATGCTTTTGTAAAATGATGGCTTGGTTCCATTTCAAAATAGTAAATCTAATGTCATGAAAAAAACAAGATGTGTAGTTCAATAATATTTTATTGTCAGTGACATAAAAGACATTCAATATTGAACCTTCAGAGCAAGAAGAAAGTTGAACCTATTTACAACGAATGCCAGAGAAGAGATGGGTGAAGGCATGTCACGAAATCGTCAACAAATGTGCTCTTTTGGTAGTGAGCTAACCCGTGTACCTGCAACATAGATAACGTAACAGACCAACTTCACAAATTACTATTAATGTAAGTTACTAACTATGTACTGTAACTAAACCCGTAGTCTGGAAACATACGTGTCAAGGCAGTGAGAACACTCCAATTGCTATTGTTCTCTCCAAAGGCATTAGCTCCTTTCCCCTTTCCCACTAGCACGTTAGACAAAGAAACAAGTTCCTTCAACACTCAAAATACTCTTATCGGCTACCTTAAAAATCCCCACGTGTTTGAAGTCCCTAATCATCAGACACCCAGAGCCTTGTTGAGGCTGTCAGCATTCCCTGTCCATCAGTGACCTATCACCAGCCAAGTGACCATGTGCGTGTTCTGTCGAAAGTGAAAGTGGATTTTTAATAAAATCTAACCTCCCCTCGAGGTGCTGCACTTCCACTACTATGGGTCTGCAATGCCCTCTCCAACCTCCCAAAATTTCAAAAAGGTCTGAAAACCAAAAGCTTCTTCATAAGCGGGTGGCACACTCATTTGGCTGTAAAACCTGACATTTATTATGGGCTGCTCAGAGTCTTTATCCATTTTGTGTGAATATTCTGTTTTGTGGCAGAAATATGAAAGTGTTGATTTACAGGGTGCTGCCCCAGACTCTCTCAATGGAGTTCCTTCCATAACATATAGTATGTGCAACCTGTTAGCTTTCTAAAATCCCAAAAAGTCAAGGAGTTGGGCGAAAACATTGGGACCACAGTTTAAGCAAAAGGAGCTAGGGGCCGACAGCAGCCTAAACATGTGCCCAAGTTTTGTTGGAGCCAGGGAAGTTTTGTGAATCCCATGTACCAGTTTCTTTAGTCTTCCAGGGAAGTGAGAATGTCTGGAACATTCTGTATCCCAATAAAGGAAGATGAAGCTCTAAAATCCTCCAGATCCTCCTTACAGGAATTTTTGTTGCAGAAGACTGCATTCCTGCCCATGACCCTAGATAATTTGGCAAGTAATGAATACATATTTTTCATCTAAGGTAACTCCTTTTCATTAAAAGCATTGTAGTTTATGCCGGGGGGGGGGCAGGGGTGGGGAGAATAAAAGAAAGAATTGGAAAAGAAGAGCCTATTAGTGTGAGGGTTACACATGTCAAGTACCAGCTACTTCCTGATCCAGCAATATTAACAATTTATTGTATTTAGAAAGTGATTCTTTGGATGCAGAGTTTACAGAAAAGTCAGGTGGGACTTAACCTGGGCTCTGCCGCTTAAGGAGAACAGAACTTGCCAAAGAAAATGATGTTTCGCGTTTTGTTGTGCCTGATGATGTAAATAAATGGGTGGTCGGCATTGAATTCATCCTTGTGTTGCAGGATTCGCGACCCTGGCACCTCTATGGAATCCCCACCATCTTCTGTTATCTCTAAGCACACTCTGTGAATAACATTGGAGAGCGCCACTCCCTTGGTCTCTGACATTCCAGAGAAATCAGATGTATTCTCATTAAAGATATTTTTCAGCCCTAGGTTTTCCAGACTAGCTTTGGGATCAACAAGCTTTTCCACCTTAAATTTTGGAATGGAGAGTTTGACTTTGGCGTTGGCCATGGTGCTGGGATTGGTCCACTGCAAGAGCGTCTCTGAGTTGAGCTGTTGTTCAACCTGAAGGACCCAAAGGAGACAAAATTACTTTTTTTGTTATTCCCAGTTGTAAAAGACCCTGTTTGATTGAAAACAGAAAGTGCCATTGTGAGCCCAGTTTTGAAGCAGTGCAGATGGGCCACCGAACATGGAGTCAGTCCTGCAGTTTAGGTATGTGACTAGTTTTCCTTACCAAAGATGCACCCAGCCACCCAGCACCCCACCCTCCAACAATGGTCCCTTTGCCTGTCTGAGAACATTTCTTTGAAGCTGTAGAGAAGAAATGAATGCATGGATTATGATGTTGCATAAATAAGAGTGAAATAAACATAAAATGAAAAGGGTTTTTAGACATGCTACTTCTTGAATGCTTATTTTAACTTCTCTGCCAGGAAATCCAGAATATTCATGTACTTGGCATGGCATCAAAATTAGTAATGCAAATTAAAGCTAAAGTTGCTCTTTCTAAAATGAGAACTTGAACTGTCTACGGTCATTCTTGAAGACCCAAGGTGATGAATGCATCCATTTCAGTTGGTGGTTTTAGAAATGAGAGATATGCAATGACACCTAAAATGGTTTAGTCATAAAATTCTTCATTGAGCAAATCTTAGATTGCTCCTTGCCCAGCCAACCTCCCCACTGGCTAGCAGAGAAACACGTACGAAAGAGAATGACAGTACCTTGACTGTTACTATCACGGGGCCACCCCTCACTGAAGTTACTCACCTGAAACCCCAAAGAAGTCCGTAACACAGCAAGGTCACAGAGTGGGCACAAGTTTGTTTGTTTGTTTTGTTTTTAGTGGGGGAGGGTCCCCTTGGATTCTCTTGTTAATCTATGATGATTATGTTTTCAATGATTACTGTTTCCTTTACAACAAATTATTCAGACCAAAAGATTGCCATAAGTCACTAGAATTTTTGAGCCAAAAGCTACCAGAAGGTATATTCTCTTGCCCGCTTATTATCTGGGAATGAAGAGAGGGAAGAAAATTCATCCCTAACTCAAAAAGACAGCTCAGAGGGGAAAAAGCGCTTTTTTTCTTCCATTATATATGTGTTATGGGTCAAATTGTACTCCCACCCCAAAATTAATTCATATGTTGAAGTCCTAACTCACACTGCCTTCGAATGTGACCTTATGTGGGAACACCATCCTTGTGGGTATCATTCAGATGAGGTCATTAGGGTTGGCCCTAACCTAATATGACCAGTGTCTTTATAAAAAGGAAAATTTTAGACACAGATGCACACACACAGGGAGAAACCCAGGTGAACACAGAGGCAAAAATTGAAGTGATGCATCTCCAGGCCAAGGAAGGCCAAAGAGTGCCAGCCTATCTCCAGAAGCTGAGGGAGAGGCATACGACAGAACCTCCCTCACAGCCCCCAGCAGGAACCAACACCTTGAGCTCAGATTTCTAGCCTCTGGAACTGTGAGAGAATAAATTCCTGATGTTTAAGCCACTGAGTTTGTGGTACTTTATTATGGCAGCCACAGGAGACCAAAGCTACACGTGTTCTTGCATTTTCCTGAGACCCAAGAGATCAGTTTCTTTCATTCTATACTGTAATCAGGAAAAGTTTGGTATGAGGGTATTTCCCATAAGGGAAAGTGCAAGGACCAAGGAGAAGAGAGACCAAGGCATGGAGTGGAGTGAGAAAGAGCAATGAAGTCCAGTGATAGAGAGAGTGTAACCATCATTAAAGCAGCAAGTGGGATGGAGACTGACTTAGACCTAGATCGTCCCCGGGAAAGTCAGGGAGTAACTGAGGCATGAAATGAAGCAGGTGATCTCTGGGTTCCTCAAAGAGCCCGTCCTTCTCCCTGGCCAAGGGCCGAGACCCAGGTGGAGGGGAGCTAGGGAAGCTGGGGAGTGAGGGCCAAGGGGGGGAAACAGGTGGCCAGGGGGTGGCTGGATGGGTCTGCCAGAGCAGAGAGGAAGCTAAAGCACCATTCACAAGCAGATGAGGCTCTAGTTAAACCTCGAGCCTCTAATAACCTACAGAAAAGATGAAGCATAATAAAATCTCATATACGTGTATGCATTAAAAGAGCTTTTCAAAACCCATAGCATGTGCCACACAAAGAGTGAACCCTAAAGCAAGCTGCGGACTCTATGAATAATGTGCTGATAACTGGCTCATAGGCTGTAACAAAGGTACCGCACTAATGCAAGATGCTAGTAGTAGGTACTCGAGGCTAGATTAAGAACACAGACTCCAACTGCCTGGGTTCAAATTCTGATTCTACGTGCCACTGACAACTTATGTGACCACGGACCAGTCACCTCCCCCGTTGTGCCTCAGTTTCCCCAGTCAACAAGAACACAGTGATAGTTTCCAATGCACGGATAGGCCTGTTGCGAGAAACCAGCAACAAGGAGCACGTAGGACCTCACAGGTCCTGGCTCCTCACAAGTGCCAAGTAAATGTTGGCTGTTTTCATATTAAAGAGAAAGACCCAGAAAGGACCGTGACACCCTTGTCATGGTCGCCCACGGTGCTGGCCACACATCTCCGTGGCACAGCAGGTGGCACCTTTGTGTTGAACCCCGCCTCCCTCCTCACCTTCTCCAGGCCCGTGGACTCATCCTCCACATCACTGGGTAGCAGAATGAGCATGCTGAGGTGCTTATTTTGAAAGGGAAGTTCTATGATCTTACAATTGATACCATCGACGTTGCCCATACAGAACGTGGCCTCCATACTCATCATCTGCACTGGTTTGGTGTCCGTCTGTAAGAGGAGAAGAAATTTTGACCACTTGTTTTTCAAGTTACAAGCATAAATACACATAGACACACACAGACATTTGTTCTTGTTATAGTTTCAGACCATAATGGCGCAATCCCCCATCTGGACCCAAAACATCACAGACTAGCCCCTGAAGAGTTAATGACTTCTTTTGAAAAGTTATTCACATGCCTCATAATTCCAATCTATTTCAGGAACTAGACATACTAAACTTGCTTATATTAAACATTAAAAATAAGGTAGTATGATTGAAAACATAGGGAAACTTTGACTCAGTCTTTATAGATGCTCATAATTACAAGCTCCTTAAACCATTCCTGGTGGAGCTGACTTGAAAGTAAGTTCTAGTGCAAACCACGCATCTCCTTATGCAGCTTTTCCTACTAGAACACATAATAGGGAACACTCGGCATGTAGCAGGACAAACATCACATTTGTTTTGTCCTCTGTTATCCTTTGGTTTTGTCACCCTCTTCCTGTATGGCCAACCTACTGGGATCTGAGCAGATGAAGAGTCTGGGTTAGAGTTAAGAACCTCAGGTTTTAGTCTCAAATGTGACATAAACAGATGCCGTGATCTTGCGCAAGTCACTTAACTTCTCTGGGCCTCAGTTTCCCTGTCAGTAAAATGAGGGAATTGGACATTTCAGAGTGGAGGGGAGCTAGGGAAGCTGCGGAGTGAGGGGAGGAAGAGAGAAAAACACAGGAGGGGGTGGGGCTGCACAGGGCAGTGTATCTGTTGCTATATTTTTTTCTTTAAAATATCTGAAATAAGGTAAAATATAGAGGAATATTAAATAACAGAATTTTCTTGAAGTCACTTCTAGCTCCACTTCTCAGAAAAGGGCCTTAGTGCCCAGGCTTTTCTCTCCAGGTCCTTTCTTCTCTCTGTCCCCATTAATACTTGACTTTGGGTCTCTACTACAAAGACACTGTTTTCCTGAAGGAAAATTAGTTCATACTCAAAAGCAAGAGACTGATCGTAATTTGGCGTGACTTCTTATTTCAATCTACACCTCCCATAGGATATTTGCCTATTAACTGAATCTCTTTTAGGGGAGATTTCAAACTTCATATCAGGTCTAGGGGATAATATAGCAGTAAAATTTTTATCTGGGGTCTTCAAACAGTAAACTAAATTTCCCCCGACACCTCTCTCAAGCAGAGCTAGACCGTATTTTACTTTTTGTTAACACCTCTATTTCAATACTTGTCACATGGCTAGAATATTTATCTATGTGAGTGTCTTTCCACCCCTCACCCCAACTCGACTACTTCTGTCAAAGCAGAAACCATGTCTTATTATCTTGGTATATCCCAGCACGTAGTAGGTGCTCACTAAATATTTGGTTGATAGATAACTAAAGACTTCGATTCTATGTACAACCAGAAACATAACTGTGAGAGAAAAACATACTACTTTTGACATTAACTGCTGGTTCTTCCATCTATTTGTCTTAAAGAAGATATAGATTTCTCTAAAAAATCTCCATCAAGTTAGACTGCTAGTCGTATGAATTTGCATATAGTCGTGGCCACCAAAAACCATCATCGATTTCACTTATCAGCACCGAATATGGATACAGTAATCCCATTTCTGAAACATAAATCAAGAGACATATCTTCTGAACACCAGACTAAATAAAAACTATTCCAAGAAATGTGTATGTGTGTGTGTGTGTGTGTGTGTGCGTGTGTGCGTGTGTGTGTTCACCTTGTCTGAATAGGCACTATACTAAATTTTTAATAATATAACTTCATCAACTTAGTCTACCCTTAAAGGAAACACCATGGGACCAAGGGAAAAGTTCAGTAACATCACTGGAAAAGTTCAGGGGCTATAAAAGCAAAGCAAAGGAAACAAAAGAAAAGTCTGCTTTTAAAAGGAAGGCAGATCCCCACACAGGCTTGAGCAGTGTTTTACTGCTTGGTTAGATGAAACACGGCAAGATCAATGGCATTTCAAATCCTTATTAATTCTCTTCCTAGAGTCTCCAGGATCTGACACGACCCAGCTTTATGACTGAGTCACAATAAAGGAGTAGCACACATTCCTCCTTCCTTCCGCCCTCTCACACTTTGCTAGATGCAAAAACTAGGGGTGCTCGGTGCCAAAGCCCACACTGCACTCCTGACTATCACCAGGTGTGGATCGGGTCCCAGGCTTGCCCTGCGGCCTCTAGGACAGACACCACCAACAAACTGTTTCGGGTTTTGCTTACACATAACTTAGGGCCCCTCTGCCAGCCCTTTCCAGGGAGGAGAGCCAACCACCAGCAAAACAATCTAACCATTCTGGAAAAGAGAGCAAGTCTCTGGGTTATGGTTCCCTGTCTACCACCTTCCTCCTAGCCGTTAGTCTCAGGATAGGCACACTACCTCCGTGCCTCAATTTTCCTCACCGGACTGAATCCCTAAGGTCCCGTGTGTCGCTCTAATTTTTCAGACAGATAGTTGGGAGCCTCTGACGTGCTGCTCCCCTCCCCATACCTTGTTGATTCTGAACAGGCATTCTTTGGTCTCGGATTCAGGAAATTTCTTCATCCACTTCCCAACGAAGTAGGCAGCATTAACCACAAGGATCTTGGTCTGGTCACTGACACTGTTGTCAGCCAAGATGTTCTCAAAGCGGCCTGCAAGCAATTGTAGGAAACCCCAGATTGCACCCGTCGCTCTTCCAAACCACGTCCGCTCTCCACACACACATCCCCTCGCGAGGTATTCATCAGTGTTGGAGCCACCCGCCCAAGGTTCCATAGCCCACGTGCCTCCCTTCAGAAGGGTTTCTTTCTCCCCCTCCCTCTTGCCACGGGATCACTTAGCAGAGAGACCTAGCAGGGGGAGAGCAGAGGGGAAGGGAGGGAAAAGAAAGGAAGAACAGAAGGAGAGAACCACGAGCTACCACTTTCAAAGCCTATCCTGTGCCAGCCAGCGTTCTAGAGGTTTCCTGGGCAGGGTATCATGTATTTCTCCCCATTTTAGAGATGAAGAGGCTGAGACGCCATGGTGAAGTCACTGGCCCAAGATGACACCTGAGCAAGGTCGGATTCAGGATTCAGAGCTGAGTCTTTCGGACTCCACAGCCTGTGCTCTGGAATGAAAATGCACGAGTGTAATTTTAACCTTTTCCCGTGCATTACCTCACAGTGATCCTGGAAGGCCGAGATCCTTATCCCCATTTTATACTTAAGGAACCTGGGGCTCGGGGAGGCCGAGCAGCCCCCCCAGCTCACTGGGTTGAAAGCTTGTTTGTGCAGGACGGCACTGTGCTCTCGACCCTAGAGCTGGGCTTGCCCTCCCCAGAGGGCCCTGGCACGAACACCGGCTAGCATCAAAGTCAGCAGGGTCATCACTGCAGAGATCCAGTCCCCAGCAGCCCCAACAGCTCCCTGAGGATAATGCCTTCATAAAACGAAGGCCTCACATGTGAATAGCACTGACGTTTTTTCCAAGGGATTCTCATCTACCTAATCCCCCAGGATGTTCCCACCGCGGCCCAGGGCCCACTCTGCAGACCTGTGACATGCATGTGCAGGGCCCTGTTCTGGTTTCCTGCGCCTCTGTCACCACACTGAAGTCCTTAATACGTTTTTTAATAAAGGACCCTGCGTTTGCATTTTGCACTGAGCTCATGTAACCAGTCTTGCCAATGTTACATGACGGGTTGAATCCTAATCGTGTTAAGGAAGGAACTGGTAGACCGGACAAGGTGGGGAGCAAGTAGGTGGTCGTTTCAACTTAAATCTTGAGCTTCTGACTCTAAATTCGGAGGACTTTTCAATAACCTACCTTCTCCGGTAAAATCTTAAGTTCATGAAGATTTTTTTAAAGGCCCATATAGAGAAAATACAGTTATCTGGCAATTCTAGAAGTAAAACAGTTACACAGCAGTTTAAACAGCAACTGCTCTTTGCTTCTAAATCTTTAAACTGTGCTTACCCTGGTGTTAGTTTTACCAGTTTTTTCTTTACATATGAAGGCAAAGAAGCACCATTTCAATCACAGATATATACGTACGTACAGCTCCGTGTGTGTGCACGCATACCTATGGCTACCATGTTATCTTGGTGAGCATACATTGTTACCCTATAGATTGAACTTGATCCTCACAACCACCATGTAAAAATTAATCAGGTAACATATGCCACATTTTACAGGTCAGTAAACTGAGGTTCCCTACCCAAGGAACTCAGTTCAAAGTGGCAGCGTCTGGATTTGAATCCAGGTTTTGAAGGACTCCAGGACCAAGTCCTCTCCAGGGTCTCACTCTGCAGTTGCCACGAGGACTCTGGCATTCCTGGGTCAGCACCAAGACAGGATCCCTCTGGCCACTCCCACAGGAAGCGAGTCTCCCTTGCCTGAGAAGTGTGTCCCTCCCCAGACCGCAGCAGCGGAACTGAAGGTGGCCTCAGAGACCAAGGTAAAGCCCAAACCCTTCGTTTCCAGGTTGAGAAAGCGGCCAGTGACTTGCCCGAAGCCACCCTCTGTTAGAGACATAGCTGGGAGCAGGCATGTGGAGGCTGACAGCTCGCTGGGGAGCACAGCAAGGTGGATGGAAATGGAAGCACCAAAAATAAATAAGTAAAAACACATTTTAAAAAGTGAAAAAAGAAAAAAGAAACTGAAGCACCAGGAATTCCTGCCAAGTGTAAGATGATGCTGGACATGCCCAGGAATCCATCCGCATTTTGAAATGGCTGCAGGGGCAAGAATTTAGCCTGTCTACCGAAAACAGCCGAGGAAGCCTCCGGATGTTCCAGTTTCTGCTTAGCAGAAAGATTCATGAGAAGACAGGGTCCAAGTAAGGAAAGGATACTTGCCATCCGTGAGATCCTTGATTGACTGGTTGATCTGACCTTTCGTTTCTTCCAATTTATCTTTGAAGTCAACGGTTTCCATTTCCTTTGCGTAGGGTCTCTTTGTAGAGCTGATGAACTCCTGAAAAACATCCAGTTCTTAAAAATCACAAAGTACCTAAAGTCCATAGTCAGGCCATTGCAGCCTTCCATGATTCTAACTAAAGGATTTGTAAGTGTCCAGGTTGGTGAATACCCTTTCAAAATCAGTAAAACTGTACAAATGGAAACTTCCTGGGGAAATCAATGAATGTTCTTTGTCTGAAGTGTTTCATTTCTTCAATTCTAAGGAATATCAATTATTAAATGCCTCCATCAACGTAGTAGCAGCTTTGGGGGGAAAAAAGAAACACCACATTAAATATATGCAATAATTATAATATGAATTCCAACTTAGAAACATTAAAATGTGCATTATATATATATGTATATATATCCTAGAATAGAAGAAATGGGGGCACCTGGGTGGTTCGGTCAGTTAAGCGTCTGCCTTCGGCTCTGGTCGTGATCCCAGGGTCCTGGGATGGAGCCCCACATCGGGCTCCCTGCTCAGCGGGGAGCCTGCTTCTCCCTCTCTCTCTACCTACAGCTCTGCCTACTCGTGCGCTCGCTCTCTCTCAAATAAACAAATAAAATCTTTTTAAAAATTTAAAAAACAATATAAAATACTCCAAGAGGAATATAACCTCAATTTATATTAAAAAAGAAAAAAGAACTCATTGAGCAGAAAACTCCTCTCCTCACTGAAATACAGACTCTAGAGAGAACACAGCAGGGATTCTATCACATGCCTGCTAAAAATGCAAAACCCCAAATCCCATCCCTATTGATCTTGATTCAGGTGATCTGAGGCCAGGAATGTGCACTTTTAACAAACATCCAGGTAGTTCTGATGCAGGTGGTCCCCCTTCTGCCACACTTGTCTGTTCTATTACCAGTAAATTTGCAAATGGTATACACTCAGCAGGAGGAATGGAAAGCAGTCTTTTTTTTTTTTAAGATTTTATTTATTTATTCATAAGAGACAGAGAGAGAGAGGCAGAGGGAGAAGCAGACCCCCCGCTGAGCAGGGAGCCCGATGTGGGACTCGATCCCGGGACTCCAGGATCATGACCTGAGCCGAAGGCAGTCGCTTAACCAACGGAGCCACCCGGGCGCCCCTGGAAAGCAGTCTTTAAAAAAATGTCTTCTGGGGCACCTGGGTGAATCAGTCCCTTAAACATCGTACTCTTGATTTCTGTTCAGGTCATGATCTCAGGGCCATGAGATCAAGCCCCACGTAAGACTCCACACTTAGCACAGAGTCTCCTTGTCCCTTTCTCTCTGCTCCTCCCCCTTCTCTCTCTCTTTCTCTTTTTCTAAAAGTAAATATATAAATAAATTTTTTAATAAATAAGTAACCTTTAAAAAAATTCCTTCAACTCCAAGTTTGGTTGAAATAACTCAAAATGTGGAATGGAAGTTCAACCAAACGAAACATATCTGATTAAATGTCCTAAGCACAGGGGGTTCCTTGAATTTCTTCAGAGCAGCTATAGCCTCAGCCAGTTTGCTTTTGTTAACGCCAACGCAACCTTGGGACTGAGTGTTGCCATTGACTGAGAGAGCTGGGGCCACCCGAGAACATCGGAGCCTCAACAAGATAAAGGACCTCCCCACTCCTCACTGCTAGCTACAAAATATACTAAGCATCCCCTTCAGGACCACCTAGGGAACTTTTAAAATTTTTCCATGCTCAGACCCCAGCTCACATCTCAGTATTTTTTCTTAATTCCCTGGGTGATTGTCGGCGGAAAAGAAGGCTGTGTATATATGTCTTCACACAATACGAATAAAGTCACAACAATATCTAGTGATTCATGACCAGGGGGTGCCTGGGTGGCTCAGTCAGTTAAGTGTCTGCCTTCGGCTCAGGTCATGACCTCAGGATTGAACCCCGCATCGGGCTCCCTGCTCAGCGGGGAGTCTGCTTCTCCCTCTGCTCCCCTCTCTTCCTCTCTGTCGCTATCTCTGTCTCTCTTCAAATAAATAAATAAAAATCTTAAAAAAAAAAAGATCTCGACTAGAAAAACAAACAGTACAGCAGAAAGTGGTAAAACTATGGTAAAATATTTAACTGGCAGTCTACATTTTAGATGTGGAAAGCTTGAAATTCTGATCATGCAAACACGAATGGAATCAACTCTATATTACTAAAGTAGAGAAAGAACCTCTATGTAGCCGTCAAAGATGCTGGCTTTGTTTTTCAAATGCAGATTTTAAAAAAATTATGATATACTCTGGGGTCAAATGTAAGGATATGACAGTGTACTTTATATGATTCCTTCAAGAAACAGCTGAAATTAAATACCTAGAGCTACCTTGGATAGATGCCCACATGACCAGCCTAGGAAAGCAAACAAAATCAATTTGTGACTGGTTCATGCGGTTGCTATTTTTCTTATTGATTTTGAGAAACATCAAGAGAACATTGTGTGCATGAACAAATGAGGTGGAGAATTTAAAATGTTGACCCAGGCCACAGGCCCTGCTATTTAAGGAGAAAGAGGTTTAACTCATGAGCTGTCTTGCATCTATGGAGATACATTTACTAAAGAGTTAATACCCCCATTCTCTATCCCTCTCAGTGAGGAATCTAGGAGGAAGGGTGAGGTGAAGGTATGTTTGAGAGGAAAAAGGGAAACCCACAAGCTTCTCTATATTTTGAGCCATAAAGTGACTGCAATGCAATTCTAGCTAGATGTGATTCCCACTATTTGCAGCCTCTCTGTAGAGGACGCTTTTAGACAGTCAACTTGAGCAATGGAAGCCTGAGAAAGGTAGAAGGGCACGCTGGGACCCCCTAATCCCTGGCTGAATAAAAACAGCCCCATTAGGCGACCCCCCCTCAAAATATCCACAAGCCCTAGCTAACCCATGGGTTACTTACACCCAGACTCAGGTACCCACAACAGGAAAATTCCATACATTCCATACCTCCTCACCTGCCCCTTAACTACAGCCCCCAACCACTGCCTCATGGCAGACAGTCTCTTCCTTGCTGTTCTGCCCGCCACTCCCTTGTGGTGTATTCAATAAACTTCTATCTCCTTTGTTCCGCCTTGTGTGAATGCCTTCACCACCCAAGCTGCCAGCTTCCACCCGATTGGGTTGCCCCACATTTGGTGGCCCCCCTATCTGATTGGGAAACCCCCCACATTCTCCATTAGGACTGATTTATTTTTGATAAGCCTGAAATCATAAACGAGCGTCCTAGAAGTGAATTTCACTGACAACAAAGTTGTGGGTGTAACCATGTGAAAATGTTACTCCTGGTAAAAAGCTGAATCGTGCTACTTGCTTTAACCCACTTACTGTAGAAGGATTCAGAGATTTGTCTACATAGAGCCGTTTGATTAGTTTCAGTGAATAAAAGGAACTAAGTTTGTTCACATCCGATGTTACTGTTTGAAATCCAAAGGGTACGTCTTTGATATTTTCAAAATGGAGGACCTGTGAAGAGAAAAAAATGCATTACCCATGAAGCATTGCCTCTTCCCACTGCAGTGGCTACAGGGCAATGGTCTGCCGCTGGGTGGTGGGGGGGGGGGGTCAGTATCTCCCTGCTCAATTGTCCCCATAAAGGGAGGCTTTTCAACTTGAGTATTATTGACATGTGGGGCTGGATAATTCTTTTGGGGTGCTGTCCTGGATATTGTAGAATGCTTAGCAGCATCCCTGGCTAACTACGTGCCCATAGCACTCCTTCCTCCATTTGTGACAACCAAAAATGTCTCCAGGCATCTCCAAATGTCCCTGGGATGGGGAGGGGGGGGAGGCAGAACTGTCCCCAGTTGAGAAACACTGCCATAAAGATAGTCTTCTCTTTATTCAACTATGGGGAAATTTTGCCCATTCTTCAAAGTGATGCCTCTAATGCTCATACAGAAGGCTTTCTGAACTTGGTAAAGAATAAAGCTGGGTTATAATGTCTATCCAATTGAGACACAAGAAGAGAGAGATGAATACCAAGACAGACAATCATCAGGCACGTATCAGATTCGGGGATAGAGGTGTCTCTAGCCAGGGTCTATCTGGCCCCTTCAGTTGCTCTAACCAAGTGTGCTGATGCATTGCTGTTGGGAGGTGGCCACCATCCATGGCTGGCTGCACTTGGTGGGCTACAGTCACATAGCCCTGCCTTGGAATCCCAGCCTGTACCCGCTAGACATGTAATCTTGCCCAGCTCTTCAGAGATTCACGTTCCCCTCTGGAAAAGGGACTAAGAATACCTACTTTTCTGAGTTGGTATGACCATTACAGACGTTGCATGTAAAACACCTAAAACATCATATGGATTCAGAAACGTTAATAATTATTCTTACGGTAATACTGGAAGTCACTTAAAACTAGGATGCTGTCTTCTGGAAGGCTTGATTCCTTCCATTTTGTTCCTAACTTTTCTTTTGTTCCAACCAATAGCCCAGCAGCTCCTCTGCTTCATGGTGCCCCAAAACGTGATGTCAGCATAAGGTGATCCTCTCCTCACTCTTAAGTCATAATAACCGCCCTGGTCGCCACACCTCAGGTACTGTCGCTAAATGGGCACACCGTGCCGATGACTCAAAAACCTCAGTACAGCAGGGTCAAATTGCCTGGTCCAAGGTAGTGCAGCGCTCTCATGCTTAATGACAGGTAAAAAGACCAGAAAATTAAGGAACCCAGGTAACCACTACCAGGAAAACAACTGCAGGTACTGAAAAGAGCTTTATTATTAATATTGAGAACAGACCCACTACCAGGAAGTTCTCTTTACTATCCCTTCTCTAATGGGAGATGAGGAAGGAGGAAGGAGAAATGGGGTAGGAATGGAGGGGTGGGGGAGTCGGGGGTGAAGGACGGATGAGAAGAGACAGGTGTTCTGCCACAACTGAAGTTTCTTTTTCAAGCCCCACTCAGTTTCGAGTATAAATTCTTCATCCGGACCCACATGATATTTTGTGGGTCATACTTTCTGGGGATTTGTGGATATAAGAAGACGTTCCTTTTCTAAATGCTTGTGAGTTGATGGAAAAAAAGATTCTGTTGAACCTAAAAAGATCAACATAAAAATAATACTGGAGTGGAAGTAGAAGCCCACCTACCTACTATCTAAGAGGGGGAGATGGGTAAAGGGGACAAAATTCCCCGGCATAAAATAAGTAATTCATGGGAACGTAATGTACAGCAGGGTGATTATAGTTAACAATTACTGTACTGTACATTTGAAAGTTGCTAAGAGAGTAGGTCTCAAAAGTTCTCATACAAGAAAAAGAAATTGTAACAGTGTAAGGTGACAGATGTTAACTCGACTTACTGCGGTGATCATTTCACAATATATGCAGATATCAAATCACTATATTGTACACCTAAAACTAATACGTTCTATGTCAACTATATCACAACTAAAAATAATGATAAACTGAAGTAAAGGTAAATGAGTACTTAAAATGTAACAGTCTGGAAGATAACCTCATTTGAAGGTCTAAGAATTTTACAAAGCTAGATCGTCAATCATAGTAACTCTAAAAAAGTAACTCTAAAAAAAATACACACGCACACACACATACACTCGCATCTGCATATAACTATAAACATATATGGGGGAGGGGTGACATCATTTAGTCCATTCTTCTCACATGGGATACTCAAGCCCTAGGGAGTATTCTGAAACATAAGAAAGCACAATCCGTCTTCTTATTCATCCCTGTTACGTGAAGGTAGAAAATTTAAAATGTTATTTCTGTACCAACGTAAGTGCAGATATATTTATCTAATACGGATATTACTATATTATAGGGTAGAGTATATTATAGAGTAGAATGCAGTGGAGCCTACATCTGAAAATAAAGCATGATGCTGTCAATAGATTTTGTGCATAAGACAGGGGTTGTCTGCAGCGGCACATTTAACAAACACCATCTTGATTGATTCTTACAGTGTAACAGGTAGACTTGCCGAAGGCCACCCATTGGTATAAAGATTGTGATTGCCTAGCAGGTCCCGGGTTCTCCATCACAACATGGTACTTGTAAATGTGGGTTGCAGGACAGATTAATGAAGTTTCACATTTAAAGACTGATTAAGAGGGTGCTAGAAATAGCACCGTTCTCAATCCTGAGCAATTTTCTCCAAGAGCCCCCATTCATTTTCCTTAGGCACTGCCTATGTGTTCTAATAAGCCTGTTTGCACTCAAAGCAGAAACAAGGTAGGGAGCTTACCTGTCCAATTTCATTTGCTGTGTCCCCTTTGGCGCCTACTTGAGCAAGGGACAGAGAGGTGGAGAGACAGATTGGAGAGAAGAGGACATTGCCTGCTGGCTCCTTTTCACACAGTTGTTTGAACAGGTCAACTGCAAAGGCCGAATTTGCCAGTCGTAGAGCATCCATTGTGGGTCTGGAGCAAAGTACAAGGATGAGGTTATTTCAGTTGACAGTTGACAACACCGATCAAAATCAGTTGGTTTTGTTTACCAATTTTGTTTCAATTAGGATCTAGGCTAAACCATACAAAATTAACATTTTTGCAGATGAGAAACAGTCAAATCACAGCAGTTCTGTGTGGTTCAATTTAATATTTAGTAAGTGTAATGTGTTGAATCGTGTCCCCCAAAAAGACATGTTGAAGTCCCACTCCTGGGTACCCGTGAATGGAATCTCACTTGGAAATAAGATCTTTGCAGATTTAATCAAGTTAGGGTTATGATGGTGACCGAGGTCCTTGTAAGAACAGGAGAAAAGACACGGAGACAGACATGAGCAAAGGGAAGATGATGTGAGGACACACAGGGAGAAGGCCACAGAGAGCAGAGGAGATCGAAGTGATGCTTCGAGGAACCCCCAGGATCATGGGCAACACCAGAAGCTAAGAGAAAAGCATGGGGCAGATTCTCCCCTACAGCTCCCAGGGAGAGTAGGGCCCTGCCAACACCTTGATTCCGGGCTTCTGGTCTCCAGAATTGTGGGAGAATGCATTTCTATTGTTTCAAGCAATCTGTGGTACTTCGTTACAGCGGTCCTAGGCATCTAATGCAGCCAGTAATGCCTTAGGAGGGCATCTAGCACATAGCAATATTGAATAAACACAGCTGTTACTGTTTTTGTTGTGAGTACATACCTACAATGTGGAAGACACACCACACAAAGGATTAGAAGTATCAACTGAGTCCCTCCTCCTCTGAGTCTGCAATCCCTTTGGGGAGATACGGAGACAAATAAGTAGAATGCAGGGCTGCCTATGCCATGTGAGCAGTGCAACAAGTCACAGAGGAGTTAAAGAAAAGAAGGAAGGTGGGTTCAGCTAAAAATATGGAGCCTGGGGAAGTGAGTAGGCACCTAGTCTTGTCTGAGGACTCTTATTCTGATGCAGGTTCGCTAAGTGGTGTCCAGAGACCCCTGGCAGTCCCTAAGACCCTTTCAGTGGGTCCATTTTCAGGGGCGCCTGGCTGGCCCAGTCAGCAGAGCATGCGACTCTTGATCCCCGGGTCGTGAGTTCAAGCCCCTTGTTGGGCATAGATTAAATAGTTTTTTTTAAATTTTCATAATAACTTTCAGACGTTGTTTGTCTTTTCATTTTCAATCTCTCACAAATATGCAGCAGTTTTCCGGAGGCTGTTTGATGTGTCTTCCCTTAAACCAAATATTAAAGAGATTTGAAGACAATAAAAAATGTTAGTCATCCTTGTGCAATTTTTTCCTTTAGAAAAGAGTTGTTTTTCATAAAAATATGTTATTCATGTTAATATGTCATGGTTATATTATTGTCATTTTTAATAAATTAGTAAATATTTCAAAATTTCTCCAGTTTTAATTTCTAATTGGGAAATACTGATAGACCTATCTGACATCAAAAAAAAAAAAGAAAGAAAGAAAAAGAAAAGAAAAACAGCTCTTTGGGATCCTCAGTAATTTTTTAAGAGTGTAAAGGGATCTTGAAATTTAAAAGTTTGAGCACTGTTGTTCTATTGAAAGGTCCACCTATCTGTCCAATGCAGTAGTTAATGATCAAGCCAGAAGGCACCTGGGTAACTCAGGCAGTAAGGCATAACCCTTTCTAGAACAGAGCGGAGCTACATGGACTCTTCAGGCTCAGCCTGAGTCCAGGATAGAATGTGCCTGAGGGCCATAGAATGATATTACTACCCCTGGGTGACTAGGGCACAGGCCAAGGCTTGAAGCATTCCCCCAAAGCCGTCGGGCACTGTGTAGTCACACACACAGACACAAAGGGCGAACATGGTAGGACATGCTCCCTGGGGTCAAAGTATCAGCACTCGGGACAGAGGGCTTCCTGCCAACAGGACCTAAAGAGCTGTTCGAGTCGATGCATGAATAGGATCTCAATTGTGTACGTTATACCTTAACAGAAATTCAAAATTCAAAGATGCAAAAATAAGATCAAGGAATGGGCCCCTGGTCTACAAATATGTTTTCAGAATTCTGCCTTTTATGGAACATGTGGCTTGTGTGTAGGATGGATTCAAAAAGACTATAATATATCTCAGAGTCTGTAAAAGGAAATTCATTAGCAAAAAAAAAAAAAAAGAAAATGTTTTGTTGACCCGTTCATGCTCACTGGTCATCTCCAATGACTTCTTCCTCTTTCATTTTATGTCCCTGATAAGAACAGCTAAGTGAGCTTAGGTCCGTGTTCTCACTGAAAACCTACTACAAGGTAACCTTCAATCTTACATTTGTTTGGGGCCCACAACCTTCCCCTCTCTCCTCAGGGTTGGGGTCTGCGCAGGATGACAGCCCATTCCCAGGCGAAGGAGCCCAGTATCAGGTGTGCAGAAGGCAATGAGATAGAAACAGAAGCATATGGGGTGTTTGGACCAGTAGGACCACTGCAGGAAATTTTTAAAAAACTTCACAAAAGGTTTGGGGAATCCATGTAATGGACTTTCAGGACAAGAAGTCTGGCTTTCTCTAACAGCAAATTTAACATTGACGGTGTGGACTTCATCCACATTTAAAATTCAACATGAGCTATTTCTCCATCAAAGAGAGATGCCTACATGAGCTATTTCTTCACCAAAGAGAAGAGCCTAAACCCAGGTCACTGGGAACTTCTCAAAGCTTTTACAACTTGAGGCCTAATCACATTAATACTAACATGAAAACATACCAACTCTGCATGAACAAACATCAGCAGTCCTTCCCAGCATGTATTTCCCACCGTCCCGAAGAGAAATTAGAATTATTTTGCATAATTGATAACAAACTTTACTTTTAAAGTTTGATTTCCTTCTTGTGTGTAAGGCCTTGGAGTAATCCGCTAAGGGAATTTTGACAGCAAACTCCTGGAAGCGGATCGAAGGGTAAGGAAATGGTCATTTTGTTCAAGTGAAGCACTCTTCTTTCATGCTTTATAGCATTTGAAGATAAACATAGTCTAAATGGTTCTATGCGAGCACAAGATCGTGGTGGTTTTTAGTATAGTTGATTACACAATATAATTAACACTGTGTTGCAATTCAAATCTCAGAGTCAGGCCTCTGTTGGAAAACACAAATCAGTACATGTCTATCAGCTGCGGCTTCCCCGACAGGAGCAGACCCTCCCTTTCAAGAGTCTGTTCCTTTGCATGAAGAGTCCTCAGAGCATGAGGTGTGCCTTCTTATCGGTGTGCTGACAAGCTCCTTTCCCAGAAAAAGTCTCCTTCGAGTTGGGGAAGGTCATGCAGCCCCTTCATATCTGAGGTCCCAAAGACAATAACATTGTTTGATGCTTGACAAAGGAAGCAGAAAATGATAGCACGTGGAAATTGTTGTAGGGGCAAACAGTCACCAAGCAAGTAATCAATCAGACATTGCATGGTAAATCTGATCCCTTGCTTGGTGATTATTACCAACTGACCTATAAATACTTAAGGCCAATTTGGTCTAAAGTAGTTCCAAGGGATGACTTTGGCCACAGCCAATTACCACGTCGCTGTGCTGCAAGACAAAGCACGCAAACAAATCTTGGCAATGTTAGCAATACGAGCCCAGGAAAATGCATCAGGTCCTACACGGACCATTTTGAGTAGTGAATGCTATAAAAATTATGCATACAAGAGTAGAAATTAGAAAAGAAAAGAGTACGGATTAGCAAGTCCTACATAATAAATGTACATGTCTAATGACACGTGTTCAGAGTGCTGAAATCGCTGCAACTTTTTTGGTTTCACTTTTCACTTTGTTACAGAGAGAACTTCTTTCATTTTCATGAAAACCTTCTGACAATTATAACAAATAAAGAGAATTTCCATTACAGCTCCAATATAGAAAACACTACATCTTTTAGTCACTTAAATGTTTAAGAGGCACTTTTATGTTAACCAGAGAAAAGTGAGATGAAAATTTAAGTAAGACATGCAAATGCAACAAACAAAAAATTGTCAGAATTTATTGCAAAGTTGCCTGTTGTTTGCATTGAATCCTAAAATCATAAATCTTTCAAGTGGGACAAGATCTTGGAATGGATCTAGTCTGGCTCCTCCCCTTCATGTTACAGATGAGGAAAGTAAGGCGGGCAGAGATGAAGTGATTGTCCCAGGCCACCCACACAGGGAGTGAGAGTGGCAAAACCAGACCTTCATTTCCACCAGCTGCCGGCCACGTGCTCCCCACCACAGCTCATCACCTTCCCTCTCAGTAATTGTGTCTTCACTGGCGTGTGTTCTCTCAGAAGTCTTCAGAGTTCCAAAAATCCTACATGTCCTCAATTACCCTTTCAGAGATACCGAGAGACTTTGCACGTTTTTTTTTTTAATATACACAAAACTTTTTTTCCCATTTTCCAAGAAGCTCTTGTTCTCTTCCTGTTCTTTACATTGCAAACTATGAATTCGATATTGCTTTCATTTAATAAGTGTTAACTGGGGACTCCTGTGTGTCAGGCACTGAGCTAGACATTAGGAAGTCACAAGTGAACACACACGGTTCCTGCCTCTGTGGAGCTGTCATGTGGCATGTCACGTGTGATGGTGTCATTAGCATTTGGATGGGAGCACCAGTTTCTGGTGGGAGCCCTCAGGGGAGACAGCTCACTCACAGTACAATCTCAGTGAGATCTCCTCAGAGACAGTTCCAAGTAAGTCACACGAAAGCAAGTCCTGAAGGAGAAGTAGGAGTTAGCCATGCAAAACTGCGTGCCAGAGAAAATGGACCCAATTCAGAGACTGCAGGTGGTCCCAAATGAGTGGAGCCATACACACTAGGATGTGCACAGGGTCAGTGTGCTCACTTCTCTAGCCCTATAGCCGGTCACTGGCTCCTGCATAAAGATTCCTAATGTTTTTAATGCATCCAAGCCAATGGTCCTCAAGCTTTTCATCTGTAGACCATTTGGATGAGATAAAGACCTTGTGGGTAGGTTGACCATATGTCCCACTTTGCCTGGGACAGTCCTGGTTTATCTGTGTTGTCCTGAAATTAGCAAGAGTGCCCCTTTTGCTCTCAAACATGTTTTATTTGAACAAGATAATTTCTATGTATAGATCCATTCTTCTACGCACATTTGCACATACACACACACAGCTATGTGCATGGTTTCTTCTTTCCTTAAAAACTATTTTTCACTGTGTCACATTATTGTGGATATCATTTAGCCTAGCCAGCCTCAGTTTACAGATGAAGAAAAATGTGGTGAAAAAAATCAGTATTTGGTCTAGTCAGTCCCTAGGCAAGGTCTTGAGAAACCTTGCCTATTGTAATAACTATAATGGAATGCCTAAAAACACCGTCTCTGCTGTCTGCACTCACAAGAAGAAAAAGTCAGAGCCAGATTAAGAAAATGGGAGACCTTGCAGCTTCTGCAGTGTGAAAGAATCTCATGAGGATTAAGTGAAGTTTTTAAATGAGTAGATGTGTGTGAAAAGTGCTTTGTTAGCAGGAGAGAACAACGCAGCTATTAATAATAAGGTCAATTGCTTAATTGCCAATGGTGGGGGAGCCTCTCCTGCGCTCAGATACTCTGTTTAGAGCCTGATCTTGACCACTGAGCCTTCCCATTGCTGCCCAACAGTAAACTAGAATCGGGCTTGCCATACCAGAATGACCAAAATTGCTCAGACTGCGTACCTTCAAAGTCAAGCATAGGGATTGAAGTAGCAGAATTCAAAGCGTTAGGAAGCAAAGAAATAAACCCACTGAGTCATATGGAGAATCCTTTCTTCAGGCAGGCATCCATCTCTCCACCCATCAAGGTACCCATAAAACACTTGCACACACCGGTGGGGACTGAGGTTTGAGACCCACCTGATTTTATTCAAAACTTCTTTGGTGATGTAGGAGTAAAGAAGTCGTTAAGAGTACCTGGGGGTTCATGGAAGAGTCCACAAGCTGTGGGTTTGAAGGCCTGGATTCTACTTCATCTCCCCACTTATAAGCTGTGTGACTGTGGACACCACTTCACCTCTGTGAACCTCCACTCCTCAACCACAACGTAAAGGACTGAGCCAGAGTGTGGCTAACCCCTCAGCTCTGTGAATCTGTACCTAATCTGATTACAAGCCAACAGAACAGCCTGGCCTGTTAAAATTGATCTTTAGTATGATATGCCTCAATGAAGCCATAAAAACCACAGTGTCGATGAGGAAGAAACTATGAACCAGCCTATTTGAAATGTTGCCCAAGAACACACACGTGAAATACGTAACATGTTTCAAGTGTCCTGAAACCCAGAAATAGGGAGAGAGAATATTCCCTGCCTGGAAGAATGTGGTTCCTAGTAAGCGAACACTGACTGGGTGCTTAAAAATGCCAAAAAGAAGAGTGGTTCCAAAATCAGACTCTCACCCAACCAGGAAGGTGAGCCAGACATTCAAATGCCTTCTGAGTCTCTCCAGGTTTCCAGCACCACGCCCTTTCTGAAACTAGCATTACAAAATTCATTTTGAATTCCCAGATAGGGCTGAAAAGGTCCTCAGAAAAACTTTCCCCTCCAGAAATCACTGTCACACAGCCCCACCACCACCACCACCCAAACCTCCTAGGCGTGTTATCTCTTCATATTCGCACCTCTCCTGGCTAAGTGATTTCGCTCCCTACACAGCATTCCTGGTTTCCAAAGGACCAAGAGCTCGAAGTGCTGCCCATGTGGGGGCGGGCAGGCAGCAGCACAACAGCCCACAGCCTGTCCTTGACAACCATTATGGCAACTTCCTTCACCACCTCAGAGCAGCTCAAATCATTATTTGATTTTAAGAATCTTCCTGAAAAGGGGAACCACCAGCCCTACCACCGCGCTTTGCTTACCTGGAGTCACAGTTATCCTGGAAAATGCACGGCAAGGGAAAAGGAAAGTGAGGGCTGCGGAAGGACCTTGATGTAGGAGCAAACCCTCTATGGGGCAGAGGCAAGCCTGGCTCACCTGAACCGGCACCACGCCCTCTGTGACCACTCCCAGCCTGCACTCCCGCCGCCTCCCACCCCTGCACTCCCGGCTCTTACTCATGCCTCTTGGCAGCTGGTCCATGAGGGAAAAAAATGATTCAGGCTGAAGCTGCTGTTGTCTGCACAGCTTCCAAACGCCTCTGACACGCTCAGGCAGGAAGGGCTGTCGGTGGATCCTGTCTTGGGCTAAATACATATATCCATAGGTACATAAGGGCAACCCTGGGAGTCCACATGGGACCGGAAGATGAAATATGATATGAAATAGAAGGAATATGTGATGGTCGTAATGATTCATACTTCTCAAATAGGGTGGTGCCCCAAAAAGCTCCCTAACCTCTACCTTTCCAGGTCAACTGGGATAGCTCATCCTGCGTAGAATGCCAAAGAGGTACTACCAATTAAACAGCGGCAATCACAAAAGAAGAGGGTCTATAAATTAAATAAATTCTGCTTAGCAAAATATGTAATACCGTTGATAGGACAAAGTGCTGGATGAAGTTCCCAGTGACTAAGATTACACAGCTCTGCTCTTTGTGGAGCCTGCTCTTTGCAGAGTCCGAATTTCCTGCCTCCCTGCAGCTCCTTCATTTAGTAAAACCTATACCCTTCCTAGCAAATCTCTTCTCAGGGAAGTACCTGCAACTAAGCCAACTGGTTCTCTGCTGTGCTCACCTAAGGTCCTCTATTGTTCGTTTATCACACACTTTCACAATCAGCTGTTTATTGCACAGTCTTTTCTATCCAGCTACGAATCTTAACGATAAAGACCAAGCCTCATTCATTTTTGTAACACCAACCCTTGGTGTGGACTTGATAGACAGTATGCAGTCAATAAATGCTTGTTGTCTAAATGAATGAGAGCACCTCATTCTGCCAAACTAAGATTGACTGATAGCTTCCCTTCCCCGGATGCCTGGTTATTATTAACCAGGATCAAAGTCATAAACTAAATGAGTTGAACTCTGAAAGTAGACTCTTAGGCATCAGTGGGGCAAGTGGAGGTAAAAAGGTCATCAGATGGTGATGTGGGCAGGATGCCTCTTGAAAATTACTCTCTCCAGTTCTAGTGGGGACATGTGGGTTTAGGGGCAGAGTCATACATTGGAAAACTCACAGTACCTCTCCTTGCTTGAGCTATCCCAGACAAAGCGCTAAACCGCTCCAGCCTCAGTGTCCTTATCTATAAAATGAAATACACATACGCATGAAGACACAATACATGGGACTCGTCTGGCACATGGTGTGTGCTCCCTGCTGATGGCCGTTTCTATTTTACCGCTTTGCCGTTTCCTCAGGCAGGCACAGGCTCAGGGAAGACTCATAATGGCCCAAAAGCTGGTTCAGAGGATTCACACCTAATTCACCGCAATAATTTATTGAACAGCTGCTGCATGCTTGCCACTGTGACCCAAAGATTCTTAAGAGACTTGTGCTTAAATCAGAGAGCTTTGTCCTTTCTCCCTTTTGATGTTTGAATTCCCTCTGCAACACTCCTGCTCAGTGCTTGTCAAACCTGGGCAGAAATGCTTCTGGTGACAGGAATTCGGCAATGCCCAAGGAAACCCGAACATAATTCTGACTGTTGGAAATAAATATTTCCTTAAAAATACTTAATGGAGGGTGCCTGGGAGGCTCAGTTGGTTAAGCGACTGCCTTCGGCTCAGCTCATGGTCCCGGGGTCCTGGGATGGAGTCCCACATCGGGCTCCCGGCTGAGCGGGGAGCCTGCTTCTCCCTCTGACCCTCTCCCCTCTCATGCTGTTTCTCTCTCTCTCTCAAATAAATAAATAAATGAAATCTTTAAAAAAAATACTTAATGGAAAGGGATCCAGCTGTTTGTAGGAAGTACCATTTGCTCTACGATTCCCCAAATGACCTCTAATTTTCTTCTCTTTCATTTGCCACAAAAACCATGTGGTTGACTATGCATTAAAGAGTAGATTTTTTTTTTTTTTTGGAGAGAAGAAATATAACTTAAAGAATGAATTATCCATTCAGTCATCAATTTTATCAGACATAATTTTCTCCAGTTCAACAAAAGCAATCATCAGCCCAAATATTTAATAACCTAGGAGACTGTTTTGTTGGTGCTTTTTCTTACCTGTAGTCTGAAACACTGCAAACGTTATTAACTTGATTACTCAGCATTTTGGCTGAGGGATGGCTTACCACACCCAGCCACTCCCAGGAACCATTCAAAGGAACTTTGTTATAGCCTGCTTAGAATTCTCTCTCTCTCTCTCTCTCTCTCTCTGTCTTCTCGTCCAAGAAGATAAATTTCAGCCAAGAATTCCCGAGTACTCTCCCCAGATACCTACAAATCATCAAGTGTTTTTTTTACCACTGATAGGTATGATTCCCACCAATGCATATAACAGTTCTCCCATACAACAGAGGAATAATGAGAACCGTGCACATTTCCAACTATTCACAGAAATGACACAGTAAAGCCCACACCCAGTCCCTGAGAACAGTCACCTCCTTTTCACATGTAGAGAAACTGAAATAGAAAAGTTAAGACAACTTTACCTTAGAGTTTCTGATAGAGACAGATAAAAAAAGTCTTCAAAACCCCAGATTTATAATCCTTTGCCTAAACTATGTCCATTTCAAGAATCCAACAGCTTAACACACTTTCATGCTTTGTGACTTATCAACATCTAGTGTTTGAGAAGCCTAAAATTCTGTCTAGAAGAAATTTTATATTAAATGGTAACCTGTAATGGAAAATGACTCGCATGAAATTTCTACTAAGATGCAAACTTACGGCGGGGCGGAGAACTAACACTGAAAAAACAAATAAAGGGTAAAAAAAAGATTCCAGAATTAAACCACAAGCAGATAGCATGAGTGATACAATTCTTCATACTGAGTGTCAGGTTATATCCAAGCAGAAAATTCAATATCAAATCACTTATATTTGGTTGATGGATGTAGAGGAGAAGAAGGTGACAGTGTGGGAAAGAGGATTTAATTCATCTTGGAGTCAATTCTGAGCCACACTCCATGGTTCAGTAAGTATTAATCATCAGCAAGAAACTTAGCTTCTCGGGGCCTCAGACTCCTGCAACATAAAAAGGAGAGAGGGGTTGGACCCGTGGTTCTAATGTTCCCTTGTAGATGTAAAGGTCAGAGAGTGAAACTTGCCTTTACCTAACTAAAAAAGAGCTCAATGACTCTAGAAAATGAATAGTATGGAATGCCTTGAATGTGACATAAAAATGAAATGAAAATTCAATATGTTAGTTCATTAAAGACTGGGTTTTAATTCATTAGGTAATCGAGTTATATGATCTGGTGACTTCTCATTCAGCTTTTCAAATATTTGTATATATAAGCTATTTTATAATTTTCCTTTTATATGTAATTCTTATAAGACAAAAGGAACAAATATAAGAATCAAAATACAATCTTTCCAAAATGTCCAGTAGAAATAAGAATTTCAATACAGTCGATAGAAATGTAAATTAGTCAACTCTTCTGGGAAATAATAATATCAATTTTGCAATATGTGACCTTTTTATTATTCATCTCCTTTGACCCAATAATACATCTTTTAGAAATCTTTCTTAAGGAAATAATTATAGATAAAGTCAATGATTAATGTACAGAACTATCCAGAGTAATATTACTTATAACAGAAAAGCTAGAAACCAGCTGAATATCCATCACAAGGAAAATAACTAAATATATGTTTTTGAAGAGTAGTGCCTACAAGATTAAGCTGCATAACAGTAGGCTAAGAAATATATATATATATATACAGATTTAGAGACTCTGGTTCTTGCTGTAATGCACTTAAGGTTGACAAATGACGTGTGTGTGTATACTCAGAAGACTTAAAGACAGTGCATCAAATAATTTAACAGTAATCATTTCCAGCTGATGAAATTGAAAGTGATTTTTAGTTTCTTCTTATACGTCCCTGTATCTGCCAAATTTTCTAGGATTGTCATCTATTTCTTACTATTGAAAGTTATGTTTCTTGACAAGTTACTTTCAAAAAAACTATCTGTCACAACTGGGCGTTTGCATAATAAATCTCAAGTTGTAGTCAATGATTACCCATGCCGTGCAATAAAGGCTACGCAACTGAAAAGCAAAATGGTGTTTTTTAAGAAGTAGAAATTCCAGAGTTTTCCTTTGATGAGGTCCAGGACTGCTCAGCAGCCCAGCAGAACCTGGTGTCACACCTGAGCTTGGCAACCAGACCCAAACCCTCCCTAGATGAGCCAAGCCAAGGAGGACAGGAGCCCAATGCCCTGGGGCCCAGGAGCACCTACCTCCAGGAGGATCCCCACCCCAGGAGGGGAGCACAAGTGGGAACAGGCCTAACCCTCTTTCTCCCTCCTCCCACCTCCCCACCCCGCGGGCTTAGCTGCCATGCTGACTCAGTTGAGGGCCTTGCTCTCTGCCTTGCTACATGATGCAACTAAAGCATGTCAAGGAGAAGCCGACACACAGCTCTAAGAGAAACTTGGCCATCACCAAGTCCAAATCCCTTGTTTCCAAATGGCGAAACTTAAGCCCACACTGTCTTGTGTGCCCATTTTTAAAAGTGATGTAAGATTTTTTTACTACATGCCTTGTAATAACCTATTTTAGGTAAGTTCTACTTTTATTCCATTTTATGAATGAAAAAGAAAAACAATAGAGGGATAGGGCTGTTGAATAACTTCCCCCAGGTCACAACGTTAGTAAATGGTGGAACCAGATTCCAGTTGAAATCCAGGTGGTGCCCTTAACAAGTACACTTTACTCTTGTATGAAGCACAAGAGTTTGGCTTAAGCTGAATTTTAATGTACCCATTTCATGTGGACTACAGAATATATTATGTAAAATATATGAAGTGCCCCTTCCTCTGATGAGCATTGGTTCTGTGATGACAGAATCAACAAAATGAGAGAGTGAATGTAAGAATTTATTTTTTTAAGATTTTATTTATTTATCTGAGAGAATGAGAGATAGCA